GAGGGCTTGCCTCACTTTTGAGGCAGAGGGAAGGCCACCGTGGCCAAGCAAGACAGGAGGGGAGAGTAGTAGGAAATGAGATTAGAGGGCAACAGGGAATCTGATTAGCAAAGGAAGGGCCTGGGGGGTCATTCTAAGGACTTTGGCTTTTACTCTTAGTGAAAAGGGAGCCAATGACGTGAAGTGACTTACATTTTAATGGGCTCCTTTTAGTCCTGAATTGAGAAGCTACTACAGACCCATGAAGGGCAACAGCATGGTCTAGTCATCAGTTAGGAAGCTAGAGCAATGACGGAGGAAAGAGAATTCTCCAATTTGTCTTTCAAATCTTTCAGTGAGTTTTCAGTTTCTCTTTCGTCCTTCAAATGTTCTGTCCTTATTGCCTCCATAGTTTCATGGATATAATAACTTCTCTTATGGTTTTTGGTTTTTTGAAGTTTTTCTTTGATGCCTTCACTGTCTCTAATCTTTTGGGTTCCTTTTTCCTTATTTGCTTTTATTTCTGTTTTTCTTTTTCTTTTTTTTTGGCCAAGCCACTTGGCTTGCAGTATCTTAGTTCCCCAATCAGGGACTGAACCCGTGCCCCCTGCAGTAAGAGCGTGGAGTTCTAACCACTGGAATGCCAGGGAAGTCCTTGATTTCTGTTTTTCACGTTAGCATTCCTCAAATATCTGATGATCCTTGGTGGTCTGCTAATATGTGGAAAAACTAAAAAGCACTGTCTGTGTGGGCAGGACTTGGAAACCTCACTGTGAGATTATTTGGTTGGGCCGCTTCATTGCAGTATCTTGACCTGGTCAATTTGGCCAAAGAAAAATAAATTACTTTAATCATGAGTGGGTACATTCAACAAGTGCAAAGCTGCTGAGATCTTATCATTAAAAACACACATCTCATGAGGCTTCTCACCCCTCATCTATCCGAGCCACTCTATCACCAAGTCCTGTCAGCTTAACTCAGGTATAAATCTCTCAAATTTATACGCAGTTGATCCTTGAACAATGCAGGGGTTGGGGGTGCTGACCCTCACTCAGCACCATCGAAAACTCACATTTAACTTATAATCGGTCCTATGTATCCATGGTTCCTCTGTATCCGTGGTTCCGCATCCACGGATTCAACCACCTGGGGATCCAACCAACTGGGAAGTGTGTAGGATTTGCTATGGAAAAATAATCCGTGTGTAAGTGGACCCGCTCAGTTCAAACCTGGTGTTGTTCAAGCTGTACTTCTATCCATCTCTATCATCATTCCCCTGGACCAAACTACACTTTGCTCACCAGGAAGACTACGGGAGTCTTGTTCACCCACTCCTAGGATATCCTTCGGTGTCTGTCTTCCACAACTGGCCAGAGTGATCTTTACAAAGTGCATTTTTAGTCCTGTTCCCTTCCTTCATATCTCCCCCCCAAACTACTCCCACCAATTTTTGAAGTCTAGTGGCGGTCCTTACTCTTAGAAGAGAGTCGCATGGGCTGCCTACCTTTGCAGCCTCCTCCCGCCCCCGGCCCCGCCCCCAGTTCTCAGCGCTCCCGCTCTTCTCTCCGTTGCTCACACCACAGTCCTTTCTTCTATGGCTGTTTGCTTGCTCCAACTGTTTCTTTAAGTAGGGAATGCTCTTTTTTCCCTCTCCCTGCAGTTTCATCTTACTGATGCCTCAGGGCTCACTTTCAACATCAATTCCTCAAGGAGACGTTCCTAATCTTCCTTAAAGCTTTACAGACCTGTGTTTTGTTAGCATCCATCACAGCTGTAATTTTATAAGTGTGACTCTTTGATTAATGCCTCCCCCATTAAAATGCACACTTCCATAAAAACAGGTGCCTAATCCTTTCCCTTACCATGTATTCACAGCACCCTGCATAATACCAGGCACATATTATACGCTCTGTAAATATCTGACAAGTGGGTATATACGTGAAGGCAGAGAACTGCAACTATTACCACCTCCAGTGTGTAAGTCACATGAAGAAGGTGACTGCTTCTCAAAGGCATTTTACAATGCCAAATTACAGACTGCCTTGAAAACTGTGACCTTAAAACATGCTTTTCTACTTCATCGTAATCAGGACAAAGAAATCAGCACACAAAATACATTTCCAGACAAACAAACACACCAGTTTTACAGAAAAAGATCTAAACATTCACATTAAGGTCTGGGGCAGGTGGGGGGCCGGGAACAAAACTCTGTTGTTCATTTCAGGCCAAGAACATAAAGTGAACCTACCTACCAGAAACAAAGAAACCAAAAATCAAACAGAATATCAAAAACAAAGCCATAGCTAAAATTACTTGTGCAAATACATAAATATCCAAGAAAGAATGACCAAATAATGGATCTTGTTGTAACATAAAGAAAAGCAAAATTGACAGTATTTTCTATATGATAAAGACTATATAAATACTGCTTCACTTAAAAAAATTTAAAATTGGACCTAGTAAATGCTATCAAGTATCATCAATGTTATTTACCATTTACATGTTCTTCCAGCTTTAGAATACTTTATTTCAAAGGGAAAATTTTTTTACCTGTAACTCTATAAAGATAACATGTTCAAGCAATCCAAATTCAGTTGTGCTAAAATTCACGGAAAAGGAAGTACCCGTGCTTTTAAGAAGCTTCAGAGTGAGTCATGAGGACATATTTTTAGAAGATATAAACGTCACTGGAACCCAACTGTAGGAAAATTCGTGCAAAGGCTTTATTCATTAAACTAATGAATTTCTCTACAGTATGTGCCAGTCTATATACCAGATGGGGAAAACACAAAGGTAAGTATCAAAACAATCAGTACAAAATTTAAGAGTTCTAAAAGAGAGATAAGGTATTTGGAATACCTGGTCTTTATGATTTATAACAGTAGAAGAACCTGAAATCTTAACGTAAGCTTTTCTATAATCACTTTATGTGTGTGTGCACTTTCCTATCAGGATTATTAGCAGCTTCAAGGATGCAAATACATGAAGACAGATTTAAAAACCCTGACTGACATCCATGGTGTACGCTGAGTGTGTTTTGTCAGGTCCACAACTGGTGTGGCAGGGTTTTTAAAGTTTTTCTATGTACTTCATGGCTCAATTCCACTTTTCAATGCAGTGGCTGGGGCCTACGGATAAGAAGATGAATGAGAGAGTCCGTGCCCCACGCAAGGCTCACTGCTGACCACGGGCCATGCAAAGAAAGGCGCGGGTAGTAGCAACGGTGCATCATGTGATAAATGCAACAGCACAATGGACCCACTGCTATGGGAACAACAAAGAATACCAGGACAGGTAGGTAAGGAGTGTCTACTCCATAGAAAGGTGGGTATCATTCACTCCCATGACTCTCTCAACATACCTAACCTTTCGATGTTTGAAAACAAAATGTCTGCATATTTACATAGTGCAAGTGACACTGTTCCTTCTATTAACCTTCCGTGAAACCTCTTCTGCTGTTCTGACAACAGAATCATTTCTTAAATATCAGTCATAAAATTTAAGGTTTAAAATATTTTCATCTTACTATCTTTTATATTTGACACGTATAGTTTGATAGAATTTATTAGTTTTCCTAATGTTAAAGAATAGGGTTGGTGATAAAAATAATAATTGGCTTGAAAATACATTTCTGTATGTGAATTGGAATTGATTTCCTTTTCTGGAAATTTATAACACTTGACACTAAAATGAGTCAAATGATGAAATCCTCACAGGCAGGAATTAGTTGTTTAGGTTCTGTAGTTTACATTTGCTTTTAACTTCTTCCTCTCTACTTCAGGAGGAAAATATATAGCAAAAGCTGTCAGACGAAATGTAACAAATCAGTATGGTCTGTACTCTTACGGTTGTATTTTATAGCTTTCCCTGTTTAAGGAAAGGTAAGTATGTTTCTTTCACTAAATCCACTAGCTGGATGTTTGCCAGCACAATAAAAGTGAATACAGTAATAAATAATGAAATAGATCCACAAAACTTAGCACTGTCAGTTCAGTCTTTGGTACAATTTATACAATTCATACTTCTTACAGACACAAATAAAGTACTTTAACAAGTACAAGCTGAAAAAGCACGTTGAGTAATCAGGAAAGTGCAACAGAATTAAGAAACATCAAAAATATAATGATATATTTTCTTCCTTTAGTCCAACATCTAGCAACTCTATGTAGGCATACCAGAAATGTTTAATAAATGTAGAATAATGAAAACGGCAATGATGACGGTGACAACAGCTAAGATATACTGGGCATTTAACTTGTACTAGGTACTGCTAATTGTTTCATATTTAAGCCTGACAACAATCCTAAGAGCAAGGCACTATTATTAAACCCTATTTTAAAGACACGGGAGAAGAGGCTGAGCCATGTTAGGAGGTGGCATGGTTGGGATTCTAACGAAGGCTGTCTGACTTCAAGGCTCTTAACCACTCAATTGTGGAAAAAGAAATATTATAAAGGCTGGGATTTAGCAACAGTTTTGTTCCAAGAATTTTATAACAAACATATTCAAATGTATTTAATCTATTTCAATATTGTAATATTGTATCTACTAAAACTGTAGGAAATATTCCATCCTGAAAGAGCAACTGACTTGTATACCACTGAACTATTAACAGATTTTAAAATGCTTTTTCCTAGATGTTATAACTAAAACTATTTTATATCACGTAAGTTAGATTCTTATCCTCTCTGCAAAAGAGTAACCCAAAACATTTAATTTCAATTATTTTCACCATAACACAAGTGATTTCTGAAAAAAATCAAGAGCCAAAGTTCTAAAGTTGGAAAAGATAAAGAAATTATAAGTAAATCATGACTGATTTTACTGAAATGATTCCAAAACCAAAGCAGTACAACAGTACGTCCTTTAGTATTAACTTTTTAGATTTTGAAACAATCCACTTCACAGTGGGAATGCACTGAAGTCTGTACAAAGACCCAAACTAAACATGGACTTATATTACTTGTTTGCCTGATGTCATACATACAAAAAAAAAAAAAAAAATCCTGCAATAAGCATACCTTGGCAAAAAATACGGTGAGGTGAGTTTCACTGCCAACAATCCAAATAGGGAATTTTGGAGATTTCAAGTAAGAACCAACCTAGAACAAATGTAGCAAAATAAATAAACAAATGAAAATTTTATACTGCCTGTTAAATATCTGCCAACGAGTATCTGAAGCGTAACTGAAGTGTCTAATTCATATTGAAAGGGAACAATGGGTTGTGCCAGAATGCCTTACCCATAATGGTCAAATGCTAAGTGTAAAAATGAGTGTTATAAAGACTGTCAGGGCTAAGTTTCTACTGCACCTTTCCACTAGAAGAATAATACAGATTTAACACAGCTAAAAAGAATTAGTTTAGCTCTAAGAATCATTCTCAGGTTTCACTAAAGATCCTAGACAAAATGACCACTTCTAGAATTTCAGATTGGTACCTCAAACCCTAAAACTATAACCTTGACAACAATTATCAGGAAAATAATTATAAATTAACAAGTGAGTAGATATATGAATAAATAAGGGGAAAAACCTGAAGAACATTCTGTCTTCAAAGAACCTGGGGCAACACAGTAATCTCTCTAAAGCAAAACACACACTCCCAAACATTTAAGAATATAAAAGAATCCTGTCATTTGATTCTTCATGGTAGGAAGTAAATTCAAAGTTTTACAGTATTAAGTCTCTTTAAAATATGTAAGAAGTTATACTTTATAGCCTGCCTTCGAGGTTATATATTTAATATAAAAATGACAGTACCCCAAATTTGAGAGTATCATTTTTTTGTGCGTGACCGAGAAAAAAAAAGCTTAAAATTCAACAGACTTGTGAACGCGGATCACGTTCACATGAATCACCCACACTCTTAGATGGACAAAGACTCTGACAACTAACCTTACCAATCACATGTGCTGAATTTTCTTTTCTCACACAGACTCCCTAGAACTGGAAAATTCCAAGTGGCTGCTCGCAGCAGTCAGGGCCAACTATTCGCCCCTAAGCAGCCAAAAGCCCTGCTCTGGTGCCCGGCTTTCAACCACCCTTTGGAACTGACTGCTATCATTAGGAGGGAAATGGGAAAGAGGCAGGTACTCTTTTGTATTCGGGGATCGTAAAGCTAGTATCTTTGACCTACGAGGACGGGGAGGGATGAGCGGATGTGCTAACAGCAGTGGTGAACCAGCAGAGGAGGAAGGATGGTTTGAGGACAACAGAAAAGTGTTAACAGCACAAGGACAAAGAAACAGGAAAAGCTCTGGTCACAGTTCAGAGTGAAGGGATTTTAGAGGTGTTCAGTGCAAGGCCTTCCACTTTACATAAGGAAGCTGCGAACTCCACAGGACCTGTGCTTGGCCGGAATTCAGACAGCTAACTAGTACAGAGCTGGGGTCAAAGCTCAGGTTTTATAATTCCTCATGTGGCAGCTTTCTATTACATCACGCTGCCTCTTGTAGTGAAAAGTTCAGGTGCTGTTTAACTTCTCCTTCAGAAAAAGTGTGTGTGTATATATATGTGTGTGCGTTTAAGGTAGAAGTAAAACATGAGGATAAAATTACAAACAGTGGGATCAAAGGGTAAATGAGTGCTGAGCTCACGAAGTGTTTGTAATAAGAAAAATAAATAAAAGAAGGCATAAATGGAGCAACCACTTTGGAAAACAGTTTGACAGTTCCTCCAAAAGCTACGTATATAACTACCATATGACCAAGTAATTTCACTCCTGGGTATACACTCAAGACAAATAAAAACATGCTCGCTAAAGACATATATTAATGTTCATAGCAGTATTATGCATAATAGTCAAAAATCAGAAACAAGCCAAATGTCCATCAACTGATAGATAGAAAAATGAAACTGATATAAACTGATATATCATACAATAGAATATTATTTGGTCATACAAAGGAATGAAGTACTAATACATGTTAAAACATGAATGAACACTGAGAACATCATGCTAAGTGAAAGAAGCCAGACACTAAAGGCCACATACTGTAGGATTCCATTTAAATGAAATGTCCAAAACAGGCAAAACTGCAGAGACAGAAAGTTGCCAGGGGCTGGGGAGGAACGAGGAGGCGACAGCTAAAGGGTTTAGAGCAGGAGTCCCCAACCTTTTTGGCCGGTTACGTGGAAGACAATTTTTCCATGGACCGGGGTTGCAGGGGAGTGGGGGGAACGGGGGCGGGGGCGGATGGCTCAGGCGGTAATGCGAGCAATGGGGAGCAGTGGGGAGTGGCAGATGAAGCTTCGCTTGCTCGCTCGCCCGCCGCTTACTTCCTGCTGTGAGGCCTGGGGTTTGGGGACCCCTGGTTTAGAGGATCTTTTTGGAGAGAGGAAAACATACTGAAATTAGATAGTGGTCATAATGGCACAGCCCTAAGAATATACGGAAAAACCACTCAATAACACACTTTAAAATGGTGAATTTTATGCATGAGTTATATATGAGTTTTTTAAAAGGTGCACAGCCAAAAGCACTGAGTCACCTTTTATCTCGCGCGTGCGCGCGCACGTGTACAGGGGCAGGAGAGGGAAAGAGAGAGAGAGAGAGACCTAGAGAGCCCGTGAGAGAGACTGTTTCATTTGTCTTAATGAACACATATGAGCAAAATGATATGAAAATGTTAATTTCAATTTTAAAGGGCAATTTGCTGCACTATCAAAGAACAGGGAGATGTTCAGATTCACAAAACTAATACAAACACAATTATTCCCTTAACGCCATTTCTCTAAATGTTTGATGATAAGTGAATGTATATATATTTTCAGAAGGATATCTACAGTTATATACAGATGAGCACCAGAGTGTAAGAGAGAGTGTTTTTTTGTTTTTGTTTTGTTTCTTTAATGCTGTCTTAACTCAGCTTTGAGGCCCTGACTGGGGGCTGGTCAATTCCCTTAAAAAAGACAGCTCATAAGTCCAAACCCCAGACACCTGACATGTCTCCCCACCCCAGGCCACTCTGCATGGCCCTAATCACTCTGGAGTCAGGCCCCAGACAACAAGGGACAACTCCCAAGCCCAGAGCTCACCCAAACTATTCAAACCAGCCAGGTCACAGGGAGCCCAGGCAACCCAGCTAACTCCATCCCAATTTCCACACGTAAGCTGCTCCCTAGGGCTGCAGCCTGCTGTTGCCTTGTCCCCAGGTATAATTCTCTTCTTGGCCCTGCCTGGTAGCATTCTCTTGTTTGGAGCTGTAGGTCACAGAGTTCTGCCTTTCATCTATCTGAGTATCAGTATGCTGTATCCCACCATTAAAAATATCTTTAAACCTAGAAAACACCATAGTTACCGCTAGAACACTAGAGCAGTAACACTAGGTTGGCACTAGAGCAATAATACTGGAGTAACAGGAGAATATACAGCAGCTAATGACTTCCCACTAAGATCTTGGGGATAAAACAGACGTTCCTCTGTTCTATCTAACAGTTAAAGAAAAGCAAATGCACATATTTAAAAAATTACAATTCTGGTGAAATTGTCTGCTCATTCATTCAACAAATATTGACTGAGCATCTAATATGTACCCAGAAAGACAATGTGCCTGCCTTCAAAGAGTTCATATTCCATTAGGGACAACAGAAAAACAAATTCAAGATTAAAAAAAAGATAACTAAATCAATAAAAAAGATCACTGCAAAGTGATTATTCCTATGAAATAATGTGAAAGAGTCACTGAGGGAATGGTCTAGGAAAGGGTCTTTGAGGCACAGTCTGAGGTAGAGTCTGAAGGAGAGCGTGAGCCATCCATTTAAGAGCTGGAGTATTCCAGGCAGAAATGAAGGAAGTACGAAAAGGCTCACCAGGCAGGAAAGGGCCTGGCGTGTATGAAAAACTGACAGGAGACCAGTGTGGCTGGAGCACAGCAATGGAGAGAGTGCAACCAACTCTGGAAGGACAGACAGAATCCAGACCATCAGGGCCTTAAGGCCACAGGGTGAAGATTTCAAAATATATCATCTTCGCACCCTATCTGCCTGCAAAACACACACCACACACTTTTTAGAAAACAGCTTCACTGACGTATCTTTGACTTACAAAAATTCTATGTATTTAAGGTGTACAACTTGATGCCTGGATATATGTACACACCATAAAAAGATCACCACAATCAAGCTAAGTAACATATCCACCGCTTCTGTGTGGTCACCATTTTTTACGTGCACACACCCTTTTAGGAATATGAGCGTCTGCGGGTGTGCTGGGGAGGAGATGCAGTTTGATTCTCCAGTCGCTAGGCTGCCTCAGAATAGCTTTACCTTGTGTAATTAAAGTCACTGAAAATACAAGAGTTGCTACTGTTTGACAGTACAATTACTACTAATGAATAAGGGCAGGATGACACCTATTTGATTATTTGATTATCATATCCCTGTCACCCCTGTCCAAGTGTTGTCATGAAAGAGGAATGCTGTCTGGTAAAAAAGAAAGGGAGGGGAGGAAGGGAAGGAAGGCAGAAAGGAAAAAAGAAAGAAAGACACTGTTATTGTTACTAAAAATAATCAACCACTGCTATGGAACCACCATTCTAAAATGGAAAAGAATATGAGAGCTACTTCCTTCTTTCCCCAAAATCAGAACATCTTATTAAGCGCAAATCATTAACGATTTAAACTCCATTTAAAACTATTTGGAATCTCCAATAGGTATTTCAGAATGTGCAGGAAAGCTATGAAATATATATCAAAAAACGAGAGTTTCATGGCAGTTCCTAATTCTAGCACATGTGTTAAAGAGTTGAATGCTGTGAAGTGCTTGGATTTTGTTTTTTAGTGTGAAATCAGTTTTCAGATGAAAAAGACAAGTTAGAATTTCAGGCATTTAGCAGATTCTTTTTCTTTGCCTGATAAATTTTTTCAGCGAAGCATACTGTTAGTGAGGAACAAACAGGGCATTCTTTCCCCTCAGTTTACCCAAAACTATATTTATATTCGATAATGGATATCTGTTTTTATAAATTATTTCATGCTGGGTTCTGCCCCCGACCCTCAAAAAGGAACAAGCCTCAAAAAATAAGGAGACTCAGCATGATCAGCCAGCTTAACTCCATCCTTGATAAGCCTGTCAGTTCAGGAAGGGTGGTCAGAAAAGAACTGAGAGTACACACTGTCTGTAGTAAGCTAAAATATGTTGTCCCACGAGAAAAATGCTCTCTGCAACAGTGGACATGTGAATAAAAACCATTCAAAGTATCTTAAAAAGCAACTTACCTTACAGTATCTTAATGCTTCCATTAGTGTTAAGAATCCTACAGCTGCTTGTTCATGTATACCAAGAAGTTCTGCAACAAAAAAGTTAGCACTGCATTAGCATATAAATCTGAAAAGCACTTCAATGTAAATATATATGTAAACATATATATATTCTACACCAAAACTTTTACCCAAAACTGTACTTTAAAGCTCAGCATATATTTATTGTTAGGAGTTGATTGTTAGGAGTTCACATCAAGTCATCATGACAGTACTACTCATTATAAAATACCATTAAATTAGGTAGTGGGTAATGTGATCCTTCAGATGTACATTAAATGTATTTATAAAACTTTATATTCAATGTTAACTTTTGATGGACATTTGATACCATTCCTCTCTCCCATAAACAAACACAGGCAGCATGCTTAAGACTGGGGAAATAAGGATGAACAGAACACAGTAACTGCTTTACGAAGGCTAAGAGCTTATCAAAGGAGGCAGATGAAAAAACTTGTGCTCTCTTTATATGAACACACACATCCTATAGTAGTATTAAAGCATCTGCTTACTGTGTTAGGGAAGGCGTACACAACTGGTAACATCTGAGTTGAATCTTGTAGCATATGTAGGAATTTTCCAGGCCAAGAAGAGGATAAGAAGAAAATTCAAAGCAGAGGAAATGGCAAAGAACTATGATAAATCAATGTATCTAAGGGGTGAAGAATTTGTCAAAGCTTCCTTAAAGGTTTCTAGCCTGGGGAACTTGATAAATGGTGATTAACTAAGGGAAAGAATTAAGAAAAAGTAGGTTCTAAAGTGGCGTGAAGAGAGAATATGAGTTTGGTTTTAGACAAGCTAGGATTGAGGCGCCATTAGGACTTCTAGCTAGAGACGGATACACAACTAGAAGTAAGGCTCAGGAACACAGAATAGAAATCAGGGTTGGATGTAAAGTTTGGGGAATCGCCTGCATAGAGATGAGAGTTGACATCATGGAAATGGGTAAGAAAGAATAGAAAAAGCATAGAAAATGAAAAGACAGATTATTCCACATCAGAGATGTAACTGTGATGGTAATAAAGTCTTTTCAGACTACAGCTTTCAGCTAAAGTACATCAAGTACCACTATAATAGTAATTTGGATCCACACATATTTCTAAAAAGCATGTTTTTTTCCGGTTAAAAATTATGTCCACTGTAAACACAATGTATATATAACTCTACATCCTTTTTACCATCTGGTTATATATCATCCATTTTCCTATTAGGATATTATGTTTTTCTTATCAATTAATGTAATAATATCAACGTATTTGCTTTTGTTGTAAATATTTTACTGTGTACCCTGAAGTACAACATCCAGATGGTGTAAACCAAGAACTTGTTGCTTAAGCTTTAAGCTTTGTAAATTCAAAATTAACAGAATGCACGTATACACAGAGTTTGTATTTTTTCACAAACTTCTTACAGGCAGAGAAGACATAGTGATAGTTCCCAAATTTTGGTTATGATCCTTAGGGATGCCTAAGTCCCTTTTAGAGACTACATGAAACCGAAATGATTTACATGAAAAGACGTTAATCGTCTTTTTCACTCTTACTCTCTCATGAGTGTATAGTGGGGTTTTCCAGAGGCTAACTGATACGTTATTTCCCAACAGATTGAATCTATAAACAGATATGAGAATCCAGCTGTCTGCTAATAAACTAGACATTAAAGGGATTTGCAAAATTTTAAAGCAATGTCACTCTTCTTACGAAATTTTTTTCTGATTTGGGAAGATAGTTTAATTAAAAATATTTATATTTAAAGTAATTTTAAAATGAATACATCTTTTAAAATTTCTCAGTCTTAATTTTTAACAAAAAACCCAGTGATTATTATTTTCTTATAAACCAAATAAGCGAGAGCTTTTTGGGATCCTCACTATATTTAATAGTGTAAAGGTCATGAGACCAAAAAATCTGAGAATCGTTGAATTATAGCCTTCAAAGGAAAAAGAGCAGCCCAAACAGGCAGCGATGGTCCTCCACAGCCTTTCGAATTTTTTCCTCCTCTTCCTTCCAAAATGTAAGCAGCACTAAATGTTTTCAAGTTCAAAGAATACATGTTAAGAAACATTTTCACACTTTAATTTCTAAAATCAGTTACCACCACCTAGTGTTACAACTTGATACTACATCATCTATTTCCTTAGAATTGTAAACAAATGTCTAGAATAGTATATTTATAATATAATGCTACTAAATATAGCAAATTAGCTGTTCATAATTCTTGAATAATGAATTGTTCAGATTAGGTCAGTAATCACACGTTTAGGTATGTTGTTTGAATGGTAGCATTAAAAATGTGTTAACTCCTATTTCCTTAAACAGGACATGTCCTTATAATTTTTATCTTCTTTTGATAGCTAAAGTGCATCATTAAGAATATTTATTGTACAAAGTTGTAATTATAGTGAGGATATACTATCCTCATATTAAAACTTACAGAATTTAGTTATAAGAGACTTCATAAGTCTCAAAGAAGTCTGCTTACATTTGCAGAAAATTCTAATAATTAAGTCATTACATTTCAGAATTTTCTGTCTAACTTCGTTTTCTTACCCTAGCATTTAAGACTAATCATGGTGATTGTCTACCAACCTTTCCATTCAGTCAGTGGCACTGTACCTAAATGCAGAGTTTTGTATTCCTGAGTTTGCTTTTCTATAGCCTTCTCCTCCACTCCCAACTATCACTTCTCACTACTGTCAGGGTGTCTACAGAAGTCCTTCTTGGGCCTTTCAAACTTGATGCTGACTTGGAAAGCAGATAACTGCACTACATTTATTTAACAAACATGCTCTGGGTGCCGAGTATGCAAAAAAACAATGCTAAGCACAGTGTAGGAATACAAAGGTACCACTGGGAATATGAAGACGAAGAAGCAAAGAGCCTCTCTGCAAACCATGTATCTGATGAGGGGTTAATATCCACAATATATAAGGAACTCCTACAACTCAGCTGCAAAAGACCAAATAACCCAGAAAGCAAAAGAAGACGCCAAAACAAAAAAATCTGGGCAAAGGACTTAGACATTTCTCTAAAGAATACATAAAATGGCCAACGGTATATGGAAAGATGCTGAACATCACTGATCATCAGAGAGGTGCAAACTGAAACCACAATGTTAGGCTAACCATCCTCAAGAACACAAAAGATAAATGCCGGGGAGGGTGTGTAGAATCTGAATCCTTGTACACTGTTGGTGGGGATCTAAAATGGAAAACACGATGGAGGTTCCTCAAAAAAATTAAAAATAGAACCATCATATGATCCAACAGTTCCACTTCGGTGTATTTAGTCCAAAAGAATGAAATCAGGATCGCAAAGAGATATCTGCATTCCCATGCTCACTGCAGCGCTGTTCACAATAGCTGAGAAACTGAAACAACCTAAGTGTCTAGAAACAAATGAATGGGTAAAGAAACTGTGCAATATCCATACAATGGAATATTGTTCAGGCTTACAAAAGAAGGGCATCTTATTATATGTGCACGTGTATGAACCTCGAGGACCTTATGCTAAGCGACATATGCCAGTCACAGAAGGAGAAATACTGCATGATTCCACTTAGATGAGGTTTCTAAAATAGTCGAACTCCTAGAAGCTGAGAGTACAAGGGTGGTTTTGCCAGGAGCTGGGAGGAGGAGATGGGGTGGGGAACTGCTGTTCCACAGACGGAGACTTTCCGTGACGTAAGACGAATAAGTCGTAAAGATCTGCTACACAATCTTGTACCTACAGTTAACACCATACTTAAAAATTCGTTACAGGATAGATCTCACGTTAAATGTTCTCACTACAGTTAAAAAAATTCAACCCCTCCACCCCCTCCAAAAAAACCAAAGTAGAATGTGGTAAGTGCCATGAAGGCAAAGTGCTCAGAGGCAGGATGGATGACCTGCAGCTGTGGGAATCAGGAAGTGCCCCGGGGAAGGGAGGGCACACGAAGTGCGAGCTGAAGGGCTGGACAGGCACAGATGCGAGGGATACAGGTCTTCAGGCACAGGGAGCGGCACGAACAAAGAAATGAAAGCAGGTAGCATGATTCTGTTCAAGCACAGGTTCATGATGGCTGAAAACTTAAGCTGGGGTGAGATTATGTAGGGTCCTCGAGTAAGTAAGGTAAAGAGCCTATAGTTAAAAATATGGAGGAAAAAAAGGACTTGAAGGATGTTAGAATACCTAAAACAAAAAGCAGTACAATACAGAAAAAGGCTTGGTTGTCTCACTTATGGGTAAAGGTACATGCCATCTGAGCCATAAACTTTGTGAAATCTATTTTTGAAGTGAGGAGCTTTTAAAAACCCCCTTATTAGCTGTCTGTCGAATTGCTGAGAAGTCAGGTTGCTAGAGAATTGGTGTCTAGCCAGGGTTGCCAGCTCTAGCAAATAAAAACAAAGATGCCCAGTTAAATATAAATTTCAGATACAAAATATAATTTTTCAGTATAAGTATATTCCAAATACTGAACGGGACATACTTACACTAAAAATGATTGTTTATTTGAAATTCAAATTTAAATGGGAGTCCTGCATTTTGTCTGGCAACTTAGTTCCAGCTAACTTAATATATTTTTACAACTAATAGAATTTGGAGAAAAGGAGCACTTCTGACCTTTCCTCACATAAATTCTGATAAACCAAATACGTTTCAAATTTGTATAGCACCTGGCCACTAACTGCAATTCACATTAACTACTTAAAAATATGAAAATTTCAAAATGATCTTAATCTTCAGAGTTTAGATTCTCGTACTGTCTATGTATCTTGAGTCTATCAGCTTTCAATTAACTATGCCTGGAAGGACTGCCATAGTGATTTATATCAAAAGAAAAAAGAAACGAAGAATGTGGGTTTCTGATTTATAAGACCTGACTCTATTTCAATCCCATAAAATGAAGAAAACATTAAAATAAAAATAATCATCAAATAAACATACGAAAGCAATAAATGTACAATACATACAAAAAGAGAGGGTGCGCAAACGCTATGGGATTCGTTTACGAAAGAAAGGAGGCCATGGGAAGACTGATCTATGGG